TGAGAAGGTCCTCTCGGCCCCATGTGCCTAACAGGAGATACATGGACTACATGTTGTTGACTGATGGAGGAGAACCGGAAGATTATCAGGAGGCTTGTCAAACTCCGGATGCTAGCAAGTGGGAGCTTGCCATGAAGGACGAGATGAAGTCCTTGATCTCAAATCAGACATGGGAACTAGTCAAGTTACCCGTGGGAAAGAAAGCACTTCACAACAAATGGGTGTATCGGGTGAAGGAAGACCATGATGGTTCCAGGAGATACAAAGCCCGACAGGTTGTCAAAGGATTTTAGCAAAAAGAAGGAGTTGACTATACTGAAATCTTTGCTCCAGTTGTAAAGCTCAATACTATCAGGACTGTGTTAAGTATTTTGGCTAGTGAAGAGCTCTACCTAGAGCAGTTAGACGTGAAGATTGCATTTCTTCACGGAGATCTAGATGAGGAGATCTATATGCACCAACCTGAAGGTTTTTCTGAAGGAAAGAAGGATATGGTGTGCAGATTGAAGAAGAGCTTGTACGGCCTGAAACAAGCTCCAAGACAGTGGTATAAGAAGTTCGAAAGCTTCATGCACAAGGAAGGTTTCCAGAAGTGCAATGCTGACCACTGTTGTTTCTTCAAGAAATATGAGTCCAGCTATATCATATTGCTACTTTATGTCGATGACATGTTAGTAGCAGGATCAAATATGATAGACATCAGAAATTTAAAGATGCAACTGTCAAAAGAATTTGACATGAAGGACTTAAGCCCAGCAAAGAAGATTCTTGGAATGCAAATCACGAGAGATAAGCAAAAGGGAGTTTTGCAGTTATTTCAGGCAGAGTACATCAACCGTGTTTTGCAGAGATTTAACATGGACAAGGCTAAGCCAGTCAGTACACCTTTGGTTAGTCATTTTCGTCTATCCAAGGATCAGTCTCCTCAAACAAAAGAAGAAGAAGAGTTCATGGCTAAGATTCCTTATGCTTCAACCATTGGAAGTTTGATGTACGCGATGGTCTGTACGAGGCCAGACATTGGCCATGCAGTGGGAGTTGTGAGCAGGTTTATGTCAAAACCAGGAAAAGCTCATTGGGAAGCAGTCAAATGGATCTTGAGATATCTACGAGGCACAACAGAAAAATGTCTGTATTTCAGAAAAGGAGATCTAAAGTTACAGGGCTACGTAGATGCAGATTTCGGAGGCGAAGTTGATCACTGAAGAAGCACCACCGGTTATGTTTTCACTGTCGGAGCTACAGCTGTTAGTTGGATGTCACAGGTACAAAAGATTGTTGCTCTATCCATTACAGAGGCTGAGTATGTAGCAATGACAAAAGCCAGTAAAGAATTGATATGGCTTCAAGGATTGTTAGCAGAGTTGGGTTTCACTCAGAAAGAGAGTGTCTTGCACAGTGACAGTCAGAGTGCAATACATCTGGCAAAGAACTCAGTGTTCCACTCCAGAACTAAGCACATTGACATACGATATCATTTCATCAGATCTCTGCTTGAGGATGAAGTGTTGACTTTGAAGAAGATTGTAGGAAGCAAGAACCCAGCAGATATGCTAACAAAGGTGGTGATCATTGACAAACTGAAGTGTGCTCAACTTCAGTTAGCCTGCTAGAATAACAGACCGGAGCAGACTACTGCAGTAATTGAGGTGTGAGGACAGATTGAAATCAGTCCTCAAGTGGGAGATTGTTGAGTCAAAAATTGGGTGCTACCTCATTTGTTTGACAGCAAGCCAAGGAAGAAAAAAATGTTGCAGCAACTTAAAAAATTGCAGCAGTAACCGGGTGTGGAAAAGAAGCAGCACACATTTGTGGACAATTTAATACAATTCCCTTCTATAAATAGAGGGAGATTTTGATGGCAAAAATACAACTCAGAGAACAACCCAATACAAGAAATAAAAGAGAGAGCGAGAGAGCTAATAGAAATTTAGCTTTTGTGTGTATTTGAGTTGTGAGTTGTGAGTGAGTTTGCGAGTGTTTTGTAAACACGAGTGTTTTCTTTTCTCCCAATAAAATATCTGCAGTAGTCCGGAGACGTAGGCATTATTGGCCGAACTCCGTTATCAATTTGGTGTGTCCAAGTTTTCTTTTTATTTCACTTTTATTGATCCGACTTCATGGAAATTTTAGCGTATTTTTCCCAACAAGAACAAAAAACCAGAAAAACTAAACAAAAGATCAATTTCCTCCTACTGCTAAAAGCCTAGAGAAGAAACTGAAACCAACAAAAGAAGAAGCACAAACAATAACTACAAAAATCAAACCAGCAGACCAAAGGCAGATAAGTAGTGTAGCCAGTCTTCAAGGGATACCTTAATCACAGTTGCTGCTGGCATCTTGGAGTTTTGAAAAACCCACAAATTCCTTGACTTCTAAAGCCACCAAAGGATGTACGTGGAGAGTTGGATCCTTGCTTCGGCTACTTTGGAATTATCAAGGGAACAAATTTTAAACCACCAAGCTTTGAAAGAGTCTTTACAGCATGCAATTCCATCCCAAGACACTGGAGACAAATCTCAAACTCTCACAGCTCTACAGCAATTCAGTAATACATGCTGTATTGTTTCAGAAAATTCACCATAGAGAGAGAAGATATGATCAATATTGACTTTCCTTTTCTTCAGCAAGCTAGCAACAGGTAAGGTACCTGTTAGACACTTCCAAAGGAAGTGCTTGAGCTTCCCAGCTACTTTAATCTTCCAGAGTCTGAACTGAACAGCTTTGCTAATAGAATTGTGAGAACTACTTTTAGGAATGTCCATTTGATCGAGTTTGATTTTTTAAAGCTGCTTATAAGCACTTGAAACAGTGAATTGGCCTTTTTTATCAAGACCCCAATAAAGTCTGTCAACTCTGTTTGGATTTAGGGATGATATGTTGAGAATTGCTTCACTATCAATATTGTCAAAGACTTGCCTCACAAGCCACACATTCCAGGCTGAGCCATCAGATGATAGAAGATCTTTAACCCTTACAAGACAGCCTCTAGCTAATGGCATAAGAGAAGGAGATGGTTTTTGAAGATTAGGAACCCAATTAAAGTCAGCTATATGAGTGGACATACCATTCCTCACTTCAGTCTTCAACCATTTAGCAAAAAAAGGAATAACCTCCATCCATGAGTTCCACATCCATGATCCTTTCTGAGATTTTGATGCATGAGTAATGGCAGACTGAGGGAAGTATCTGTCTTTAAGTAGCCTACTTACCAGAAGGTTAGGGTTGGAAGCAATTCTCCAGAGCTGCTTGCATATAAGAGCTTGATTGAAGACTTGGAGATCCAAAAATCCTAGTCCTCCATCCCCTTTTGGTAGAGTGAGCATACTCCATTTCCTCAAGTGAATTCATTTAGTTTGTTGATCATTTGATTGCCACCATAAATTAGCACAAAGTTGAGAAATTTCAGCACACAGAGTAATGGGAAATTTGAAGCATGACATTGTAAAGATTGGCAGTGCTTGGGCAATAGATTTAAGTAACACTTCTTCCCCAGCTGGACTTAGAAGTTTGGATTTCCAGCTTTGCAACTTACCTCTGACAGAGTGAAGAAGATACTCAAAAACTTCCTTTTTTGATTTTCCTATTCTCAGAGGAAGACCAAAATATCTAGTGGATCTGTGTGAAGTAATGCCATTGAGAGTGGAGCAAATAGTCTGCTGAAGAGGTTGTGGAGTATTTTTACTGAAGAAGATTGCTGATTTGCTCATGTTCACAGCTTGGCCTGTGAAAAGTCTATATCTTTCAAGAAGAGTCATGAGAACATTGGCCTGATTAGCTCCTGCTTTGCAAAAGAAAAGTGAATCGTCTGAGTAAGCAGAGGACCATTTCTAGATAGTTTAAGGCCTCTGAGATGTCCCCTTTTCCACTGAATCAAGAATAAGTGTTGTTAGAAGTTCTGCAACAATAATAAATAAGTAAGGGGACAGAGGGTCCCCTTGTCTTATGCCTCTAGTAGGTGTGACAAAGCTGTGCACAGTTCCATTTATTTTGAAGGTAAAGGAGGTAGTGGAAATGCATATCATGATCCATTTGACAAACGCCCTGTGAAAGCCCATTTTTAGCATAATGTCATGGACACACCTCCATTCTAATCTGTCAAAGGCTTTAATTAAGTCGAGTTTTAGAGCCATGAAGTGATTGGATCCTGATGTGTGTCTGTTCAGGAAGTGGAAAGCCTCTTGAGCAACAATTACATTATCCATCAGCTGTCTTCCCTCCACAAAGGCTGATTGGAAATCACTTATGCAACACTTCAGACAAGCTTTTAATCTCTGAGCAAGCACTTTGGAGATGATTTTATAAACAGTAGTACACAAGCTTATTGGTCTAAACTGCCCCAAAGTTTCTGGATTTGACATTTTTGAATCAGAAAAAGAACTGTGTGATTTCAGTAACTAAGGAGAGTACCTGATTGAAAGAAGCTGTGAATTGCATTTAGAAGGTCTGCCTTGATCAAATCCCAGAAGTGTTGGTAGAAGGTCGAAGTCATTCCTTCTTCTCCAGGGGCTTTGTCTGTTGGAAGTTGAAATAAGGCAGTTTTAATCTCTTCTTCACTTACTTGCTTAATAAGTGCTTCATTCATGTCAGCGGTGATTGATTGAGGAATCAAATGAAGGAGTGAGTCACCTCCTATACTACCTTCTGAGTTGAAGAGATTGGTATAGAACTCTGATATATGATTCTGAATAGCCTTCTGAGAGGTTAGCAGCCTACCTTGAGAATTCAGCAGCCTGGTAATTGCATTTTGCCTTCTTCGTTGGAGAGTGAAGGCATGGAAAAATCTTGTGGTAGAATCTCCCTCTTTGAGCCATCTTTGTCTGGATTTCTGTTGCCAAAAGATCTCTTCTTTCAGGTGAGCCTTGTTTAAAGCTCTTTTAGTTTCTTCCCATTTCTCCCAATTCACACCAGTTTTATCATTGTTCAGCACATCAAGTTGTTGAGTAAGATCAGCAATTAAGGTCTGGTTCTTGGATTGAAAAGAAGAACTCCACTTTAGCAAAGCCACTCTAGTATTCTTGATCTTCTCTTTCAGTTTGAAAAATGGTGTTCCAGAAACTGAGGTGAGCCATGCTTATTTGACTGTGTCTTCAAAGCCTTCTTGTCCAATCCATCTCTTGTCAAAGTGAAATCTAGATTGCTTTTTTTTTTCTTTGGCAGTCCCAAGTCCAGTAAAAGGGCAGAATGATCAGCGGAGCTTCTCAGAATGTTGTGGACTGATGCATTTGGAATGTTTTGGAGCCATTCCAGAGAGCCAAAAGATCTGTCAAGTTGCTCCTCTATTAACTCTGAATCAGTCATATTGTTGCACCATGTGTAAGGGTATCCCTGAAACCTTATTTTCTCCATGTTCATATAGTTTATGAATGAATTGAAAGCTTGAAGGCTGGCAGGACTTCTAGGTATCCCTCCTGATTTTTCAGAATTGGAACAGACATCGTTCCAATCACCAATAGCAAACCAATTACTGCCCCAAGCCATTTTGTCTTGCATCAGAGTATTCCATTGATCTGTTCTGATGTTTCTGCACGGACTCAAGTAAATGAAAATTCCCCATTGAGAGCCATAAAGGGAAAGAGAAAATTGAAGAGCTATATAAAATTCAAAACAATGAACTTGATGAATATTTACATCAGAATCCCAAAATAAAGCTAGCCCCCCCTCTGAGACCATTGGGGTCAACTAAAGCTACTCTATCAGCATAGCCTAATTTCTTACTAATACATTTAACAAAAGATTTTGGTTTTTTAGTCTCAGACAAAAAAAAAAAAGGAAGTGTAGGTGGTGAGCTTTAATTAGCTCTCGCATTTGGGAAACTGTAGAGGGCCCACCCAGCCCTCTACAATTCCACACCACAGCTAACATTGACCCTTGTGGGGCCAATCAAGGCTGGCAACCTCCACCTTTTCTTTTTGAAATTTGCTTTTCTTAGCTGCTAACTGTTCTTGAAGGGAATTAAGTTCTGAGGATGTATGTTCTTCATCAGGCTCTCTTGCCCTCTTTTCTTTGGTGTCTTCAAGTGGGATTTGTATTAATATTGGAGTTCTGAGCAGTCTACCAGCTCTGCTTCTGTCTCTTTTCCAAGATTTTTGATTCTGGACTGGATTGGAGGCCAAGTTGCTCTGAATTTTGAGTATGGGTGGTGTAGATGAAAGTCTAGTGTCAACTTCCATTGCCTTATTGGCTTCAACAATTTGCAGAGAAGATTCACCCAAAATTTTCTGCTGTGGGATAGGAGAAGTGGATGTCCAAGAGTCTTGGACTCTTTCTATTGGTCTGACTAGAGCCTACTCAGGGATGGGGATTAGCTGTTGACTAGTTTCAGCTTGTTGAGATTGAGTATTTGGAGGTGATCTCTGTTCATTTGGAGTAGTGGAATTTGGTTGTGGAGATCCTCTGGAAGCTGAACCATTTTGCTCAAACCATTTCTGGGAAATCATTGGCTTTCATGAAGTCACCATATTGTCCCTCCTTCAAACAATTGTTGTTTATATCTGCAAATCTTTTGGAGCATGTTCTATCGGGATGCCATATCATTCCACAGTAGTGACATAGGTTTAATGCTTTTCATACTTAAACCCTACTTTGACTGCTTGATCTCCCAGTCTAATGTTGGCTGTTCTTGGCAATGGTTCTTCAAGATTCAGGGTAACAAGAAGCTTGAGAATTTTCCCTCCATGATTCCCAGAATTAGCTAATACTACATTTTTCACATGTTTAAAAGCTTTGCCAATTTTCAGTCCAACTTCTGTACTAAGCCAATTCAATGGAACATTCGTAACCTGGACCCAGATATTTAGTTCATTAAAACAAGAGTGCTTACATGATATCCCAGTTCTCCAATCCTTAAGGACCAAGTACTAATTTTCGAAGCTCCAGTTTATCCCATTAGAAACCTTCTGCATATCATCCTTACTTTGGAAAATAAATTGAAAATAATTCGGGCTTAGCTCCTTGATTTCCATAGGTCTCTGGATATTAATTAAGTAACTATTGAGATTACAAATTTAATAGTTAGATTTTAAAATTGGACTTTTAAGTTTAAATCTAAATATTAATATAATTATATATAATTAAATGCATATATAAGAGATGAGATTTTGTTTTTTTACATGAGATAAGATTATGACAAACTAATTTTGAAAGTTATTTTCATAAATTATAAGTCACTAGTACAACACCCGTGTATTACACGGGTGCTTGTTGAAAAATTATTCTTAAATTTTAAAATTAATGAGAAAACTATATTAAATTTAGTTACTTTTAAAAATATATATATATA